TCTCGTCGTGCAATCTTCTTGTTCAGGATGTATTTAACGGCCGAAACGGACTTCGGGCTCAATATGCTCCGGAAATGCGCCCGTCAACGACTCTCTAGTCGTGTCGCCAATCTCCGTGATTTTCGCTTTGGCGATGGTGCAGCGGGTGCAAAAGGCACCACAAAGTCCCAGATCAACTCCGTCATCTCTGAAAAGGGTTCAGTGCAAGATTATTGGCCTATTTGCGTCCCACATTCTGATATGTGGGTTCAGGGGCGTCAGACAATGACATCGAGGAGCATTATTCGAAGCTTTCCAGTCAGATTATGAACGCAAGCAATGGGGTGAAGAGCCGAATAGCAAATGGTTTTTTCTTAAGTGAGTATCCTTCTTGAAATCTTATTTCACACTACCAGTGCCCAAAATTATCCGAAACTTCCAGTAAACAATACAGCATAGAAAAGGACTATGAGAACGATATCAAGAGGTGGTACAACGCTGAAGTGGAAGTCCTGGACTTCGCAGAAGCAGAGCAAGCTGCTAAGGTGATTCTATTAAGCTTCTCTATGATCCGCAGCTGCTCGTACCCTTACTTGTATACTTACTGATTTCTTCAGATCATTGACAATTTTGTAAGCAATACAACCGAGGGGAAAATTCAAAACATAGTGAACGAACAATCTGTTGAAGGTACTGTCACGATATTTTGTTCAAATGCACATAGGAACAGGCAAAAGCCTGACTAGAGGCGCATTTTGTGTTACTCGTGTGGGAGGAGCCAAACTTATCATTCTTCCTCATTGGTGCAACCATCCTAAGGGGCAGATCGGACGAATGAAGGTCGCACAATTATTGGCCTGATGCCAATCATACATGTAGTATTATGTGCCCATGAATATTCCTTAGGAGCTACCGTATATGGTAACTTCCGTAGTGACAGGATTATCACTGCGCTTACGGTGTGCGACTTGCAGCATGTGAAGAGTTCGTTGTAGGTGCATACTCACTCATTGTCAACGCCATCTATTTTACGGCCAAATGGCAGAACGAATTCTCCAACAGATCTAACTCGAATGGAACATTCTACAGCGCCAGTAGAAAGGATAGACAGGTTTGCTGCACCTGGTTGCGTGTGTTCCCGTGAAACGTCGCGCAGAACACTTGTTCGCAGCGGTAATTTGCCGCGCTTTGCCGCGTGCGACAGTTCGCAACTTTCGGTGGCCCGCGATGCGATTATTGCCTTTAGGCTCTCCTTTCTTTTGTCTAGCCCACCCATGCAATTGATTACGGGACAGTCGAAGACCAATCGGGGCAAAATAAAAAGGCTTTCCGCATGTGTTTTGCAAAGCCTGTCTGACCTACATGAACTCAAAAATTACACCGGAAGTGGGTCTCCACTTTTTGTTGTCCTCTTGGGCTTATGAGAGCAGAAAACTTGCTTTTCTTTTTTAGATAGAATTTATGAATGATATCAAGGTCTATCGTCTCTACGCTGAAGATAACGACCTCCAGGTGCTCTCACTTCAGTACAAAGACACTTCGTTCGCATTCAACATCTTCTACCTAGAACAAGGTGAGAACACGTTTCCAGGAAGAATCATAATAATTGTTAATAATCTTTAAATCTGGGATTACCTGGAAAATCACTCGGAGCCGTGGATCACTTTCAAGATCTGTGGGACGGTGCACGGGCCAAGCGTGTACTAGCGATGAGTTTAGAATCGTACACGGCGCATTGGTGGTGCACCCAAATTGGCTGTGCCCACGGCAAAACTCGTAGTTTGGTTGCAAAAGAGCTCAGAGAGTGAGTAAGATGTAAAGTGACAATCCTGCGTGAGCACTGAGGAGAGTGGGCCATACTCCGGATTCAATTGCTTCGGTCGCGGAGTCCAAACTGTTAAGAGAAGAACGGGATTGTAATCCCGGCGAGGGTCACCAGTTAACGTATGAACTTGAACTTATCTGTTGCCAGCTTCGGTCTTGCTGGATCTTCTCATGCATTCATGTGGGTACTCTTTCGTTGCTTTGGAGGGACCTTGTACGCGTCGATTTATCACGCATTTTCCAACCAAAGGCGCTGTTATAGCATCTAGTCAAGGTGCAGCCGACCCAACCGCTCGCCCTTACCATTAGATCGCTGCATAGCCGCATCCACGCTGCTACTCTCACAGTCTCATTTATAAGGGACAACTATATTTTAGCGTTGCTACATACATATACTCGAAATCCCTGAGATCGGGTAGGCGTGGCCGCATGTTTCAACTTAACCTGAAGGTGTCTATGCTTCTGGTGAGATTTCATCTTGACACAATTGTTGTCGTGTCTCTGTCCAATACAGAACAAGATGACAGTTGTCCCAGACTGGAATATTCCACGAGTAACCAATTCCGTGCCATGTTCAAATGCCACGCCTACTCTGGCTCAGGGATAAGGAGTGTAAATATAAGTGTGAACAGGAACAAGTGAATACATATTTGCAGTTGTATCTATCAAAGCAGATGCTGACACGATGCCAGCGGGAACGTCCAAAAATGCTTTTGCAATGCCGTGCAAAAAAAGGTTTTTCCGCAGGTTTTTCGCAGTTTAACTTCGCTTCTCATCTTTTCTACAAAACACCCCTTCTATTTTTCAGCAACTATCAAAGTATCGTGCTTTATGCATCCAAAAGGCACGATCCAAGATAGAAGGTTTAGCTGGTGTTCTTTGAAATATTGAAGCGAAATTGCCAAAGGACTCGCCTGAGAAGAGAAAATGTAAACGGGAACTCCGAGTGGTAGATGTCATATCTGCTGTCTCGCTCGTTTGCGCTGCTTTCTCTGGAATATCGCCCGATATCAACATCGACTCTTTATCTCTCGCTTGGCCCAGAGTTGGCCTTACTGGAACGTTTCTATATTTCCTTCTATTTTTTTCTTCAAGGGCAGGTCAACCAATCCCGCTACCTACGGACTTTTCGTTGGCTCATCGCGAAGTCTGCCATTAAGGAATTGTACGTAACGCCATGGTTTTCGGTCTCAGGTGGATCTTGAGCAGAGATTAGGGTAGAGGGGAGCACGCAGTCAGGCTTCATCTATTCTCTCTTCCAGACTATAGGTTCCTTCCTCAACCGATAACCAGCCTACCACAG